AGACACACGTTACCAAACAAACACCACCACAACATATAGAAATTTTAAACTGCTGTTACAGTAATACGCTACACCGTATAGAGAGGAAGTTTTTCTAACACTGACTTCTGGTGAAAAAATCATGAAGATCGACCTGTAACTTCCAGAGATGTCCACAAAAGATCGCTTACTGTATATCGCACCACAGGATGTACTCTAGATCTAGGCTATAACGGTGAACGCGCACCGGGTGAGAATAGCCAAAAGACTCGCCTGCACTATCTATCTATTCTCACCCCAGGTGAGAATAGAGGTGGCCCTATTAAAAATAAAAGTACGACTAGCCTGAGAGGGCTTGCCTAGCAGTGTAGCCGTCATTAAGTACAGCTTGCCTCTTCCAAAACTAAAATCCGTCATGTAAACAGAACAAAAATCCCTCCATGTCTCCACGCCCCTCCCCCGTTCACACCTTCTTACTGCCTTACACACACTCGCAAGCGGGCCACTCCACTCCATTCATTCGCAACTCGAGAACGGAAACCGTATGAGAAATAGAGTTCAAGTTTAAGTTCCAGAGCGTTCGAAGAAATCGAACAGGCCAAAAAATAGGTATCTAAATCACTGTCGATGTCGGGATGGGGGGGGGGGGGGGGGGGGGGGACTGGGTCGACGGCAGCGGGTCATGAGAGTATGAGACAAGAGCCAGAGGGGTGAGAATAGAGGGTGACGAATAACATTTGCGACTTTATTGTTGGCATTCAAAGACATTTCAAACACATAAAAAAACAATGAACTCACTGTTGACGTAATCGGATATCTCCTGATCTATATCAGGAAATGCTTGAGAGATTAATTCCCTACATGATACCGACATGATGATGCCGGATAGTGACAACGAGTAGTGAAATTGGAGAGAACATAGAATCTAATCTGAGGTAACTCGTTTAGGACGAAAAATAATAATACTTCGCCAATTCTTTGATAACTTCCTGTAAATGGTCTTTTACAAAATACACCATATGATTTTGGTACACTAAATAGGCAGTTTCGGGGGAGTGGGCTCCCCCGCTTTACCATACTGTTTGTTTTTTAAAGAGAGCCATAAAATATATCTTCGGCCTTGTGATAAAACCGACTAACCCCAGAGAGGTAAATTTTACAGGAGAATGAAAAAATTGTTTTATTTCAAAACAAAGGCGTCTAACGATAATCAATGCTTTAAACACCTATAAAAACACTTTACCGAAAATCTGTAGACCTTTTTTCCTTCAAAAATTGCTTTTAATGAAACTGTGTGGGTTAGAAGGTTATGTCGCTCAAATTTTCCTGGATAAAACCGACCAACCCTCAATTTTGTGGGTTGACCGGTTTTATCAGGAAGCCACTGCTGGCCTTGAGTTTAGTTGAGTGCAGCCAAGCCACACTTGACGGTAACGTATTTGATCACTTGCTTCAATCGTCAAGATCTTTTGTAAAAGAAGAAGAAGAAGAAGAAGAAGAAGAAGAAGAAGAAGAAGAAGAAGAAGAAGAAGAAGAAGAAGAAGAAGAAGAAGAAGAAGAAGAAGAAGAAGAAGAAGAAGAGGAAGAAGAAGAAGAAGAAGAAGAAGAAGAAGAAGAAGAAGAAGAAGAAGAAGAAGAAGAAGAAGAAGAAGAAGAAGGAGGAGGAGGAGGAGGAGGAGGAGGAGGAGGAGGAGGAGGAGGAGGAGGAGGAGGAGGGGGGGGAGAAGGAGGAGGAGGAGGAAGAGGGTGAGAAGGAAGAGGATAAGGAGAAAAAAGGAGGAGGAGGAGGAGTAAGAAGAAGAATAAGGAAGAGGAGGAGGACTATATTATTGCTACCAACATACTATCAGCTGCCGCCATTTCAGTGCTACGGGTTCAATTCGGGCAAAAACAGCAGTCACAAAGTTGAACCTTCAATAGAAGTAGAAGAAGTAGAAGAAGCAGAACGCAGCAATGGGTATATTGATTACATTTAAAGTAGAAGAACATGAGGTTGGAAGGGTAAGGGAGAGCTGCTACAGCAACAATTACAAAAACAACAACTACAACAACAACAACAACAACAACAGTAGTAGCAGCAGCAGCAGTAGGCCTTTATAATTTATGACCGTGTCTAACACGGTACTATTGGCAGTGGGTGGCCATTCAAAGGCCTGGAAAAAAATAATACAAAGAAAGAAATGAAAGCAGAAAGCCACACAAAAGCTCTGCTACCTCAGCAATGGTTTGGGAGAAGTTGGTTACTTAATAATATATCATTATTATACAAAAAGACTTTGTGAGTACCAAAGAATGCGCCAGCTTTCTCCAAGGTGCGTGGCTTGACAACTACTACTTTATTGAGTTTTCTCGACGATAGAAGAGCATGTCTGTCTCACTCTGTGTCCTATGGCTACAACAAGGCAATACGACAAAAGTTACTCTACAATAATCGAATTTGGCTTGATCGCTTTCAAAACTTCTTACTGAGGCAAAGTTTCATCGTAATTGTGGTAGCATCGTGGTACGACGGCCTGCAACTCCAGTAGATGTTTATACTGGTTGGCAGTTATCTTCAATCTGTCTTTGCAGAGAGGTCCAGCAGTAACCGTCGTACACATGGTGTTCAGCTTTCTTGGTCCTTGCAGCGCCTGCCATCCATCATCAAAGTTCAGCTAGTACTGAATTTTAAAGACTGTAGTGTACTTTGATGCCTGCAAGTCAGTGACAGTAGGATCGCCTGCTTTTCTCCCTAGACGGATTGTTTAGTGCTCTCCTACCTTTGGGAAATCTTTGAAAAAGCTGTGGTCCAGGTACATAACTTCATAGGGCCTGGGGATTCGTCTGGCTTTGAGCATGATGTTCATGAAGTCAATTGGGATGTACATCAGTGCGTTTTTTTTAGCGATCGCTCAATAGTGCAATGGACTGAATCCACTTCCATTTGGGTATGGCCCTTGGGGAGAATTTCTGCTCAACTGTGATGTCAAGCTCTTTGGCCAGCGAGGCCATTGCACTCACCAGGGTGGCTTTCTGTTTTAGTAGTTGCGCCAATCACTGCAGATGATGAAGTGGTTGAAGTCAGTCACTTGCAATATCAGTTAGTGAGTCAGACATGATGAAAACTGTTGAAGCCCAGACCAACTTCACTTTCATACCAGAATATCATCTGACGTCTCTGGTGGCAAGATCCTAAGTCGTAACATTGTGTACAGCCAGTTTTGTTTTATATAAGGTGGAAGTCTTTAGTGATGAGGCCAGAAGGACGCACTGGATCTCCACACAAAGGACACACACAGCCTCCCTGTCCTTCTCCTTCTCTGGTCTAGGTGCAGCGTTCCTCATATTCATATTTGAGCTGTGTGTTCTGTTTCTGTGAGGTTTCCAGATTTGAACTTGGTACAAATGTCGCACTGGTCTTTCTTGGTTGAAAGTAAACCCAAATTGTTTTTCTTGAACTTTTGGCAGAACACTTGATAGCTCAATGTGGCTTTCACCCTCTCTGCAAAGTTCTCCATGTATACTTGATGCAGATCTGACGTTTTCTGGATTGTCATCTGTAGACAGGAGGATGTCTTCGAAAGTTGGCCAAAAAATTCCTCTTCATGGAACAACTTGTCATCCTTGGCTCTCTTATGGTGGGCGTGATGTGTTCTAGGGGGTGGACCTCTTGTTGTTGTTTTTTCTTCGGAGAAGACACTTTAAATAAACCAGTGGGTCAGGCCTGTGGTGTTCTTGAAGATTATTTTACAAACAGGTGTTCTTTGACCATTGACTCTTGTAAGTGGTATTGAAGGCTGTAATTTCTCCTTGGGTTTTCTCTAGCTGGGTAAGATCTCTTTTTGTCTATCATGTTTATCGTGGCATATACGTAGGCTCTCTTTTCTTTCCAAGAGAGTGACCAGTGATGTCATTGCATTTTGTACCAACCAGTTCACAACTGCAAAGGACGTCAAGTTCACATCCTGCTCGCTTCGTGCCTTGACATGGGTAGAGGCATCCCCAGTTCTTTCAACCTCTTCCTTTTGTTACCCTTCCAGTCGTTTTCATGCCGTGTCCTTTTCGCAGAGATCAAAGGTGACATAACTGTTGTATTATCAGCTGATGTGACATTAGCCTGGTCAGGTTGATCACTTTCCACTGCGCTGAGGGTAAGAGGTGACACAGCAAAAATGGCATCATCTTATTAAATGTTATAGCGTTATGTAAGCTAAGGTTTGATATTAAGATAAAGCATTAGGTTATGACACTGAGAAAATAATCTACTCAAAACACAAACGAAATGAACTTTCAAAGAGGGTCGAACGATGTTTCAGAAGATAATGACTCCAATAAACACAGCAAATGAAAAAAAAAGCACTTTAAAAAACAACGATCGTTGGGGGCAGACGGTGTGCTGGACGGGTCCCACAATTTTTTTTCTGAGTGAGTAAAGAAGGAAATGCTATCTACTTCGTCCATTCAATTGTGAAGGAAAAATGATTAGGAGAAGAGACAGTAGTCCGAATAGGGGAAAATGCCTTCACAATCGGTGAATTTCGAGTACAAAGACAAAGAAAAACACTCAGACAGAAAACAAAGTTTCATATAAAACAAAATCCACAAAGATGCATTTCAAATACCGGAATTGTCACGATATAAACAGTTCTGTGGGAACAGTGGGGAGTTTTTAGTCATTAATAACATTATCAGCAGCATTAAAACGAAGAAAAAAGAGGGAACAACCAGATCTAATATATAACTCCCCAATGAAACCAACAAGAAATATTACACAAATATTCCTTTTTGGAGAGCTCCCACGGTTATGTGGGCAAATTCTAGACTATTACAGGTCTGAATCTGATGTCAAACGAAGTCCGGAGAGCAGTCGAAGCCGGGGTTAGTCGGTAACGTAGAAAGTGGCCCCTCATTGTTAGCGCGATACAAACAGCCAACCCTCATTCCGTCCCTCGCAGGTGGGATAGTCGGAATTATCGGGCTAAAATCCGATGGGTGCCGGGTTATACGGTTTTATTTCTAATGTTTTAAAGACGAGTGAGCATATGAAATGGACAATTTACTATCGATAGGGCCAATAAAAATGTTTTTGATATTTTGTGGGTTAGTTGGTTTTATCACCAGGCCGACGATATTCTGCTTTTGAGCGTTCATTATGTGAATCTATCTGAAGGGTGGTGACAATAATTTTAATTTGCTTTAAGGGGGGACTACACTCCCAAAGTCAAGATTCGGCTCAAAATTATGGAATTTGAGTTGCAAGCATTAAAAATGTTTTGCTTCCTCAGCCTCTCCTACAACTATTTCATCGCATAAGAACCCCCCAAAAATGTATATTTTCCCATACCGGGCACGTTTGTCACCGCCATTTCCTCATAAAGTCAATATTTTATTTTTCTTTATCGGCCGTTTTCTCAAAACGCGACTTTTCTATATACTTTTTTGAATAACTCCACAATTTTTCATCCAATCTTCATGAAATTTTCACAGAATGAAGAGAAGAAGTAATACTAAAAATTTGTCAATTGAATTTTTGATATATATGAAATAGATTTCTGTTGGTGGTTTCTGGAGTGTGGATTTTCACGGATTTGTTGCAAACTTGAATGTATATATGCTACCTCGAATCAGGAAAAAAATTCTATAAGTTTTTTAAAAATTCGTTTAGAAAAAAAACAACACAGACATTTTTAGATCTAATGTTTGTCAACACGCATGCAAAAAAAAAAAAAAAAATTTCCATAAGCGATAAGTGCGGTATTGATTACGTAAGACATGTCAATAAAATCCAATATGGCCGCCGTATCCACGGAAACGAAACTTTTTTTCTTTTAAAATTTGATTGCGGATTTTAAAACTCCTTACTATGCGATTAACGTTAGTTCTAAGCTCCTTGGTGGCGGGGCATCTCTGCAGCCAGTGCTCCAAATCTTGAGGTTCCTCACTGCACAATGGACAGA